ATTCAGAAAATCTTTTCAGGACCCCACCTTGATATTTCGGGACCCCGCTTTGGGTCCCGACCCCAACTTTGGGAAACACTACCTTCTGCTGCACAAATGCTGTCTGCCTGAGGTAACAAACACAGTTTTCCCCTCCATCTTTGTGCAACAACAAGCACAAAACACATGCAGTCATAGCTTCCACATATGATGAAAAAGAGTCCTGTTGTGTGTGTCACCCTCATGTCCTCAGAATATCAGGCTGAAGCCATTGTGACTTTATATATCCAGTTACACATGGGTGCTGGGTGTCCCTGCAGAGGAGCAGCAGGGGAACAAAGCAAACAGTGTTCTCACTGTCCTCAAACAGCATTTTATTTATTTTTTTTTTTTGACAAACTGGAAGGAAGGAAGATGTTTAGAGGGGGGATAGCATTTATCATCACAGTAAGGGTTGATGTGACCCATACTTCACTGTCAGGTTTGCACATTTTGAGGCAGACACGGTTAAAGTCCTTGGTTTGCAACCATAAAGGCATCCCAGACTCGACTTATTGGATTTTTTAAAGGGATCTGACGTTTTTTTTTCTCTTGTTTTTATAGCTATGCACGCTAACAATTGCTTCAAGTGTTACAAGTGAGATAATAAGAGTTGTTGTAATAATATGTGAACATAAAGTTCAATACTTGCCTGCCAACTGTTTGATTGGCGAGCTGCTTCATCCGATTGAACTGCTTCTTCATGGTTTCTCGGTCCCTCACCAGTCAAGTTTTCCGAAGGTACGCCTCAGTGCCCGGCTTTGGTTTGTCATGAAGTTCATGCAGAGCCTCTCCCAGTTTCCCCCAAGCCGTCGCTATGACAGAGAAAAACAAGCCATCGAGCCGAAAGCCAATTAGAAAGTAGTTTGTAGCCCAAATGCTAGCGCCCGAGCTAGCTCCCAGGGAGAAATTTAATTCCACAGAAAAGTTTCCCCTCGAGGAGGCCACGGCATGATAAGCGAAGCTCCTTTGTGTGGGGGGGCAGATAACTTGGAAAAAATAAAACTTTCACTGTCTCCAGCGGCTTCTCATGGCTGTCGCCGCCTCGGTCGCTGATCCTGCGCCGTTAGCTGACGTGCTAACGTGGAGCTGATTCATCCGTCGGAGCGGAGCGGAGCGGAGCGGAGCCTGTGCTGAGAGAGAGACGGAGCCGCAGGAAGTAGCCGTCCACCACCACCTCCCTCTGGACGCCAGCAGGACAAACCCACTCTGCTTTGAAATGAAATAAAATAAAAAAAAGCACAGTTACAAAAGTGTTATTTGRTTTAGTATTATGTAATGTACCAACGGTGCTCAAACAAATAAGGAAAAAAAAAACACTAACTGAGTGTTTTGACCTGTTCAGGTCAGGACTAAAGACGGTGGGGGGCCATGGGCTGGAGCTACTTTTGGGGCCCAATCCATTTAATTTTAACTTGTAAAAAACTGAGTGTCTGCATTTTAATTTCTGTCAAAACGCCCATTTTCCCTGTGTTGTTATTTGGTTAGAAATGTTACACTTCTAAAGGTTTAACCAGTCCAAGATGAATATAAATTAGGCCTACCATAATTAAATAAAAATGCTACGACGCAGTCAGTCTGACAGATATTAAGCTAAAAATGAATATGGTGGTTGTTGAATGTCAATCACAACACATACACTAAGGTCTAATAGGTTATGTGGTATTGTAATATGGTGCATAATTATATTTTTAAGGTGTGTCCAAAAAATTCTTCAACCCTGTCTGGTAAAAAAAAAAAAATGTACAACACATCCTCTGTGGTTGACCTTTTTGTACACTGAGAATGTTGACATTAAAGTTGGTTCAACAATTTAAAAAAGACTGAATTTGTTACTTTTCCTTATTACAAATAGAAAAATGTGCAAGTTTTTTTCTCTTTCTTGAACAATGGAAACATTATTTATATTCTTGCTTTATTTTAGTATGAAAAAGAACAACATGGCATGCAGCATTACAAATGCAGGCTTGTGCGCCTAACACCTCACATTGTCATAATACTCATTGTATTGTTTGACTTTTATTTAACCATGAAAATTCCATTGAGATCACAAATCTTTTGCAAGGGATGCAAATAACAGATGGATGTCTTCAAATAAAATCAAAGAAACAATAATATTTGCATTGGTTGCTGTATGAGCAAAAAATGTAATTTTTGTCATTCTGAAGAGTTAAAATAAAGGAGCATAGGCAATTTTGTTAAATTTTCCTGATAAAACTTATTTTATAAATTTATTTTTACTTGAAATAAGCTTCAAATTTTTAAATTTATCCTCTTGGTTTATCTTGGCCAGGACTCCATTAACCTCAATAGATT